ATGTGCAGAGGACACAACTTTACTTGCTGAAAGTGAAGATGACTTGAAGCACTTACTGACAAATATTGAAGATTATAGTCTGCAGTATGGATTACATCTCAACATAAAGAAAATGAAAATCCTCACAACTGTGTCACAGCAGTGTCACGACAAATGGAGAAAAGCCTGAAGTTGTCAAAAGATTTCTTATTACTTGGATCCAGAATCAACACCCATGGAAGCAGCAGTCAAGAAATTAGACATTGCATTGCACTGGGCAAATCTGCTGCAAAAGACCTCTTTAAAGTGCTGAAGAGCAAAGATGTCTGTTTGAAGACTAAGATACGCCTAATCCAAGTCATGGTATTTTCAGTCACCTCATATGCATGTAAGAGCTGGGCAATGAATAAGGAAGACCAAAAAAGAGTTGATGCTTTTGAGTTGTGGTATTGGTGAAGAATACAGAAAATACCATGGATTGCCAGAACAATGAACAAAATCTGTTCGGGAAGAAGTGCAACCAGAATGGTCCTTGGAAGCAAGAATGGCCAGACTTAGTCTCACCTACTTTGGTCATGTTTTCAGAAGGGACCAGGCCCTAGAGAAGTATATCATGTTTGTAAAGTGAAGGGTCAGTGAAAAAGGGGAAGACCCTTAACACGATGGATTGACAGTAGCTACAATGATGGGCTTAAGCATAGCAAGGATTGTGAGTATGGTATACAACTGAGCAGTGTTTCATTCTCTTGTACATAGGGTAGCTATGAGGCAGAGCCAACTTGATGACACCTAACAATAATAATATAAAGCTCAGGAGTCCCCGGGTGGCACAAATGGCTAAGTCCTCAACCACTAGCTGAAAGGTTGGCAATTTGAACCCACCTAGAGGTGGCTTGGAAGGCAGGCCTGGCAATCTCACAAAAAGTCACAGCCTTGAAAATTGAAAACCCTATGGAGCAGTTCTACTCTGTACACATGGGGTCACCATGAGTCAGAGTCAACTCAGTGGCAAATAACACTATAAGACTCAGAGAATAAAATTAAGGTGTTACTACTAGGAGTTTTTTAAAAGGTAATCTGATCCAGAAGAATTTACATTTTGAAGACACGAAGAGCTGAGTTAAATTGAACCAAAATGAGATGGAACCTAAGCCCTAGGGCTGGACTGAACTCTCAAAAACATAACTGCCTGCTAAAACTAAAATCTGTTGTCTCAACCTTGACTGCAAGTCAGATTCATGCAGAGTGCTTTTTAAAATTCTCAATATGGTCCCCTTCCCAGAGCTTGAGTGATTGGGCTGGGGAAGAAAATATGTGTTTTTGAAAGTTCCCAAGAGGTTGCAGCATGCAGCCAGTGTCGGGAGCTACTTACATAAAAGAGTGATTCAAGAATGGACAGGTGAACTGGGGAATCCTGCCCATCGAGGCAGCTGTTGGGTTACCTGCACTGTGAGAAGACAGGCTCAGTGTTACCAAATCTTCCAATATTGAAATTGAAGCCAGAAATCCAAAGCTTTAGGTAAAATCGTCAAGGTTTTAAAGGTTGGTTATGAAATCACTTTTTAAAAAACACTGCAGATAATTATTCAGGAACTCTGATGATCTTTTCCTTATAACATTTGCTTTTTCTGTCTGGAATGAAGTATCTTCCCACATTGAAAAATGAAATTAAAATACTGCAGGTGTAGAAATGGCATGGCGTTGGCGTCTGATCTCCTCTGCTTCCGAAGAGGGAGAGAAAATCATTATCTGTATCAACAGCCCAAAGCTGATTCCTCTGAGGTGGGTTCAGACATGCCACCACCCTCCAACCTTCAGTGCCAAGTCTGACACCAATCATCCCTCCTACAGCACTTTCTACTTCTCTGCTGGGTATGATAATTTGTTACAGTGGCCACATGGAATTCACAGACAATACTAACATTTATAGGGTTTATAAGGGTAGTAACAGTTTAGAATTCAGGATCAAAAATGACTCAAGATACAGTTCTTCTATCAGGACAGGCTCTTAGCCATGCCATAGGCAGGCCTCTCTCTGGCCTTGGCCTCTTAGCCCTGTGGCCCCTTGGTCCCTGCCCTGCTCAGCAAAGTGTTACAAAGCTCTTTTAACTCTGCCAAAAGGTGCCCAAAGAGACACCCCCTCTGCCAGTGAGCCTCTTACCTGAAGGCACTCAGCTTTCTTGATCTTTGGGCCTGGAAGCCCACCGCCCTGTGCTGTCCTGGTCTCTTGGTTCTGCAGCTGTCATTTCTGTGTCACCACTTCTTGCCATCTCAGTAAAACATTACAGCTCTCTCTGTCCTGGGTTGAGGAGGTTCGGTGCAGGGATCTTGGGTCCAATGATGCCCTCCACTCTGGCTCTTCTTTCTTGATGGTTGTGAGATTCCACCTCTGGGATGGCTCGTTTTAAGCCTAGCAGATGGCTAAAACTGACCAATCCCTATGACAGGGTTCTGTACACCATATTTGTGCAGTAGCACCCCACAAGGGTGCACCTTATTTACATTATTAGCAAGCTATCCAGTCCTTTTGGTGGTCCATGCACGCCTCCTGTTTGCATAGTCCCACCTAGTCATCTGGTGGGAGTCACAAGGGCTCTACCAAGGAATGCACTGCACTGCAGCAGGTGGAACAAGATACAATTTCTGGACATACCTGGCCCCCAGGAGCTCATTTGTGACCTTTGTTTTAAGGTGTTCTTGTCTGTAAAGGGGCCTATCCCAAGAGTAACAAAGAATAAACACTTGCATTGCAGGTTATGGAAGGAAGGTTGGTGTCAGATATTGCAGTTCAGGAATGACCTTAGACAATATCAATCGGACAGCAGTGGATCGAATAATCCGGGTGGATCATGCAGGTGAATATGGAGCCACCCGCATCTATGCAGGGCAGATGGCTGTCCTGGGTCGGACGAGTGTTGGGCCGGTCATCCAGGTGGGTGCTCCTTAGCTCTCTCCCCTGCTCTGCTGCACAGATGATCCAAACTACCTTAGGCCAGACCCCTCAATGAAAATTGATTCTTGGGTGTGGGGTGAGTAAAAAAAAAGTCCTGTTCTTTTTATGTGTAAATCACAGACATATATGTGGTACATAAACAGATATGAAATATCCCTGGAGTTTTAAAATGTCATGATCGGGGAGGTGGTAATGAAACAATGGTGGAGAATCACTGTTGCCGGTGAAGGCACTGGTCTTCCCCACCCACAGTAGCTCAACAATGGAAATACTTTATATTCAGAGGCAGAGCCAGGTCAGTAGAAAGCCTGGGCTTTGTAGTCATAATAGCTGTCCCACCTCTCTGTGTGACCTTAGATGTCACATGACTTCTCTGGGACTCCATTTCCATCCCTTGCTGCAAAATGGGGTGATAGCATCTGCTTTGTTGGGTTTTGGTGAGGAATAAACGAGTTGATGGAGAGCAACTAATAACTGGTTGCACAGAGTAAGCATTCGCCCAAGTTAAATGGCCTCCTCTGAGTCCTGGGGCAAGTTACTTCCCCTCTCTGTGCTCACTTTCCTCATGTAGGTAATGAGGATAATAATAGTTTGTACTTCACAAGGTGATCATGCAGAGTAAATGAGTTATCTTTATAAGGCTATTTGATGGCACCTGGCACTTAGGAAATGCTGTGTAAGTGTTAGAGGTCATTAGTAGTCTTCCTTTTTCCCATTGATTTAAACAATACTTATATTCTAGCTTGCTGAAAGGAAATTATACAGTACTAAATATTCTGCCCTGTCTACTCTGGAACAGGCTAACCATCTGGTTTCTTGTGTGTGTGGCTCCTTGTCAGGCCTGTTCAGGCTCTCAGAGTCTGAGGCACTTTTGCCAGGACCTCAAGTCTGGCATGCTTATCTGAAAGTGAGATAGCAGGCACTTCTTTTGGTTTGTTGAACACAGATTATAGGCACTCTGCTCTTCTTTGCATCTAAGATTCTTTTTAGTCTGATGGCTGGTTTTTCTCATCGATGGTTTGAGGAGAAGTGGAGGAAGTAGCAGTCCTTACCATTTTCCCCATTTCTGTTTTGCTTCCTTTATAGAACATGGATAGGGCATGGAGTTTCCTTGATATGGAGTAGTAAGCCTCCACAGAATGCTTGGATGTCTTTATATTTCTTACAGAAAATGTGGGATCAAGAAAAGGACCATTTGAAGAAGTTCAATGAGTTGATGGTTGCATTCAGGGTCCGACCAACGATTCTGATGCCCTTTTGGAATGTGGTAGGGTTCGCCCTGGGTAAGTGTCTGTCCAGAA